ACAAATGACTGGCCAGCTTTGTTTGGTAGCCTATAGGAGAATCAATAAGGATTGAAAGGGCATGGAGGCAGAGGGAAGGGATTGAGGTTTCTTTTTTTTTTTTTTTCCCCTTTTCTTTTTTCTTGTAGAAGGAGGAAGCAATTGTGGAAGTGAAAGGGAAAATTCTAGCAAGGCAGATATAGGATAAAACACAAAATCCCTTGTTCACCAGTAGAAAAAATTAGTTCCTGCAAGACTATGGGCTTAATTGCACCCTGGCCTTCAGACTTCTAACTTCAGGCACTTCATAGAGTCTTTGGTGAAAGATGGGGCCCTCCAGACAGTGATTCAGAGAAGGAACACAATGCACATCGCAATGCATAATTGGGGAGGGACCCTGGCATCACAGTAGGGTAATACAGCATCTAGCAGAGCTCTTCCAAGCATAAGCCACTAAAACACAGCACAGCTCAGCTGCACCATAAACTTTCCCAAGCCCTGGGATCTCCCCCTTCTCACTCACCCACCGGGTTCACTTGGCTCACAGCACAAGCTCCTCTCCAAGAAGCGGCATGTCTTGCCATAATGTAGATCTGAGCAAAACACTCATCCGGATGAGGCGGCAAAGGGACGACAACAAAAAAAAAAAAAAAAACCCAGATCCCATCAAGTTTGCTCTAAGGCGAGATGCGGCGAAAGCCCGCGTCCCAAATGGCTGCAAGCATGGAGTGCCACCAGGCTCTGGGTGCATCGTGTCCTCAGCAAAACACTGTTGTGACAGCACCGGGGAAGGTGCCAGTGCTGGCTATGACTCAGTGTCCCCTTCATCTGGTTCCCGTCGTGGGGGTTTTCTGTTGCTGCCCGCTGCCACAAGCTCCTTTTGTCTGCCTGTAATTAGTCTGTTGGCTTTTCTCTTTCTCTCTCCCCCTTGTTTTTGAGGGTCTGATCCTTATCTACTGTGGTTTAAAACTGTTCAGGAAGCTTTAGGGGCACAACCCACGTTGACACCATCCCTGCTGAGCTGTGAGATGTGGCTTTTGCTGTTTTCTCTCCCAACTTTGCTCCTGCTTAGCTGTTTTGGAGGAAACTACCCCTGCTCACCCATCACCTTTTTTCTTCCTCCCTCCTACTCACTTTCCACCTCCCTTTCTGTTCTTCTTGCCCCCCCCCTCGTCTTGGACCTCCTAATGCCACCCAGAAAAGCACACGTCCTGCAGCCTCCTCCATCCACCCCATTGCCAGCTCCCCTGCGGCCAGGCAGCTAATTTCAACAGAAGTCTGGCTGCCTCTCCATGAAGCCCTGAGATAAAGCCGCTGTGCTTATGAAAGCCTCCTCCTCAGCCTGCCCCAGTCCGTGGCTCCTGTCCTTCCATGCCCGTCTGTCTGTCTGTGCCCGGAAATTGTCTGTCTGCCTCAAATTACCTCTGTCAGCTCCCAGCACTCTACGTCTCCCTCCTCCCTTTGCTTCCGGCTCCCCTCTTTCCTCCTCCTCTACCCACGCACCTTACTTTAATTAGAAATACAATGAAAATGCTTATCACTATGTCTTAATCAGCAAGTCATTCCCCAGCAGGTCCAGAAGGAAAAACCCCGTTCCTCCTCGCCTCTCCTGTCTCCCCCGCCACCTCCACAGAAGAAGAGCACGCAGACTAGGAGGAGAGCTCGGTGGAAAAGTTGCTGAATGAGATGAACCTAGAGAGCTGGACAAGCTGGAGGAAAAGATGAACAGAAACCTTATGATATACAATAAGGACAAATTCTGTGCCTGGGAAGAAAGAGTCACTGGCAGTGACTGGCTGGCAGAAATGGACCTGGGAGTGCTGGGGGAGAGCAGGCTGAGTAGGTATGATCCAGCAGTGTCCTGGCAGCAAGAAAAAGTATTCTGGACTGTGAGAGCATGAGTGCAGCCAGGACATCAATGGAAGTGATTATCCGCCTCTATGAGGGATGTATTAGACCATATCTAGCTGCTGCAACCACGTTTGGGCCCCATAATACAAGACATTGATCAACTGGAACGAGTTCAGCATGGGCCGTTGAAGCGGTCAGGGCTAAAGCACGTGCCTGGTGTCTGGTGTGGGACTAGGGCTTGTCCAGCCTAGAGAAGTGATGGCACTGGAGGGACCTAACAGCAGTCTCCTGCACCTGTGGGGAGGTTATCAAGGAGGTAGAGCCAAGCTCTTGATAGAGGTGCCTGGTGAGAAGACAGGAGGCATTGGGTACAAATTGAAACAAGACACTCTGTCTGGGTATAAGGAAAAAGGTTTTTCCCTCTGAGGACAGTCATGCAGTGGAGCAGGTTGCCCAAAGAGGGTGTTACAATCCCCATCCCTGGGGTTTTCAATATGTGAAACCTGAACCACCTCATCTGACCCAGTAGCTGACTCACCTTGAGCTAGAAACCTCCTGAGGTCCCTTCCAACCTTCATAATCCTGAGATCCTATGACTAGACCTAAGTGCCAAATGAGGCCATTCAGACTGATGAATCCCCCACACACTGAAAACTACAGGAGAAGGAAAGAGAGGTAGCAGCGTCTGGAAAGAGACAGATTTGGTGGAGTTGGTTTTAGAGCCAGTTCATCCCAGACTCTGGCATTTGATGGGACAAAGTGAGGTTGAAACCACTTCACCTTGTAAAGTTAAATCCAGGCTATAACCTGTCCCCATCCACTGGCAGTCTCCTAAGGACCGTTTCTGGTGATCCAGGGTAAAAAGCTTTCTGGAGAATATCTTTGCACTAATCCAGAGATGCAGAGATTGCACAGTCTCTCCCAATTCATGTGATCTCTTACTGGCAATGCAGGTTTAAGGCAGACTCTCTGGGGTATAGAAACTGCAGCATAAAAGGCTCCAGATCTGTCCCAAACCCTCAGATCATTGACATTTGACCCTTTCTAAACACAAACACAGATGCACAAAAATCTCATGCTTAGGAAAGCTGGGTGAAAGCAGAGAAATAAGCCAAGCAGAGGGCATGGCTCTCTGCCAGTCATATCACTGTCATGATACGTGTGGGGGATAAAGTGGCATTGGGAGGGTCTGCTGGATCAGGAATCCTGCATTTACACCCTTAGGCTTTTGTGCCCTTCCCCATCACCGTCACTCCCCACCTTCGGCTAAAACATGCAGCCCTTCTATGTCAGCTTGCTGCTGCCTTAAATAACCCTCCCGTTTCCCAAAAGCTGTATGGCAGTAGTGTTTGTCCATGTGCCATCGCCTGGTAGGGACCAGAGGCGTGCTTTCCTGCAACACACGGATATGGGGGGGTAAAGGGAGTCCTGCCTCCTGTCCTTCATGCCCTTTAGCTTAACCACTGCCAGTTTGCTCCAAGGGGACTCTGCTTTAACCAAATGCGTGGGGTCACCCAGACCTCCTTTCAGCAGGACTTCACTGAAAAACCATCCGTCTCCTCCGCATTTCACTTTTCCCAGGCTGGCTGCGGTCTCACCAAAGAAACAAGTGGCCAGGAGCCGTGGGAGTGGGGGATCCATCCTAAGCCCCCCCCAGCACACTGCCCACCACCCTGAGCGGAGGCAAGACACCTCCTCGCTGCCAACAGGCTTGAACCCCCTTTTTAGGTGATATTCATGAATCAGCATCCCACTGCCTCCGGCCACTGTCACTGGGAGAGGATGAGAAGCCCCACGATGTCCTCAGTACCTCTCTGAGTGTGTTCCGGTGGGGAAATCTCTCGGATTAGGGAATCCTTTATCTCTGGCTTATATAAGACCCGGGGACTCCTTTTATGGTTGGCTTTTCCTGCTTTGTCAAGAGCAAAGAACAAATGTAGCTTCATCTACACTTGTGGGTTGGCTAACTGATTAAGCATCTGATTCAAGTTCAGTACAGAACAGGCTTTTGATGGGCGGATTTAATTTGGTGTAAAAACCAGGATGCCGTCCCCCTCCCTTACCGAATATTCCCAAGATAGCGGTTGGTCTGGTGCAATTAAGCAGTGGGGATGACTCCCACCTACCAATCCTTTAGAAAGTCCAGAGTGCTCCAATTTGTACTGAAGGGGCTCCTTTGAGTGTCACCTCCCCCCTTCCCCCCTCCTCTTTTCTTTTTCTTTTCTCTCCCCCCCTTTTTTTCCTGCTGATTTATCACCACTTCCAAGCATTTGCATTAAGAGTGAGCTCACTCTGTGTGTGTGTGTGTGCGCGCGCGCGCACATGTGAGGGTGTGCGGGGGGCCGGTGGGCGTCTGTCTTCGTGTGACACACTGAATTCCTCCTCATCTCCCCCTCTGCGAGTCCTGCCAGGGGAAGCATGCTAATGATGACCTTGCTGAGTAAATAGTTGTGGAATGAATAAGTGTTTTTCCTGCAATCTGAAAGGCGGAAGGTGCGATTACTCATCCATCTATCCAACTGTCTCCAGCACCTTTCAAGCACTTCTCGCGTCGAGTCTGGGGGCGTGCGTGAGGGGGTGGGAAGCGAGGGGAGGCTGCCAAGATCTGGGTTGCCACAGACACCGGCTTCATTTTTCCTCCAATAAACGCCGCACTGAGAGTGCGAGAGGAGGCAGGGCACCACCCACATGTTGAGCTGTGTGGGGTATAAGTAGATGGAAGAGCCTGGACTAGTGGCAGTTCAGACAGGGAAGAGAAGCAGCTCTTTGCATCTCTAGTGAAAGCGTCTTTGACTCGCCAAGTTTACCAGAGGAGAAATCACCGGGATTTTTTTGCAGCAGCTTCCAGCTTCTGTGTGTTTTTTTCTCCAGCGGGGACTCTCCACCGTTCAAGATTCTCAGCTCCGGGTGAGCAGGTAGCGGGCACGCGTGCGGGGCTGGATGTTTTAGCCAACTCCTCCCCTTGTTCCTGGAGGATCCTGGCTCTCTCTGGGACACCCTGAGCACGTGAGACCGGCGTTTCCAGCTGTGCACCGGGAGAAATTTGCCTACAACTCTCTCTGGAATCCACAGGGACCGAACAGCTCGCTCTGCGGTGATATCTGATTTGGTTGTGTTTGTGTCGAAAAGTCTTTCGAGGGGGGTTTAGAAGTCTCTGTGTGTCTTTTGGGAAGTGTTGTGGTGGGGTTTTTGGGAGCCAGCTCTAGCGCCAGGGCTTAGAACCCAGTTCTTTCTGTGTTTGACACTCGCACGGTCGGAGCCATGCAGCTGGATAATGTCACCAATGCGGGCATCCACTCCTTTCAGGGGCACCGTGGAGTTGCCAACAAGCCCAATGTGATCCTGCAGATAGGGAAATGCAGGGCAGAGATGTTGGAGCATGTCAGGAGGACCCACCGGCACCTCCTGTCTGAGGTCTCCAAGCAGGTGGAGCGCGAGCTGAAAGGCTTGCAGAAATCAGTGGGGAAGTTAGAAAATAACTTAGAGGACCATGTCCCAACTGATAACCAAAGATGGAAGAAGTCCATCAAGGCCTGCCTGGCCAGATGCCAGGAAACCATTGCCCATCTGGAGAGGTGGGTCAAGAGAGAGATGAATGTTTGGAAGGAGGTCTTTTTCCGTCTGGAGAAGTGGGCCGACCGTCTGGAGTCCATGGGAGGCAAATATTGCCCTGGGGACCATGGCAAGCAGACTGTGTCCGTTGGGGTGGGAGGCCCAGAGATAAGGCCGAGTGAGGGGGAGATTTATGATTATGCCCTTGATATGAGCCAAATGTATGCGCTGACCCCTCCTCCTGGGGAGGTGCCCAGCATCCCCCAGGCCCACGATTCCTACCAGTGGGTCTCCACGTCAGAGGATGCTCCAGCCTCCCCAGTGGAGACCCAGGTCTTTGAGGATCCCCGGGAGTTCTTGAGCCACTTGGAGGAATACTTAAAGCAGGTGGGTGGAACAGAGGAGTACTGGCTGTCTCAGATCCAAAACCACATGAACGGCCCGGCTAAAAAGTGGTGGGAATACAAGCAGGACTCTGTCAAGAACTGGGTCGAGTTCAAGAAGGAGTTCCTGCAGTACAGCGAGGGGACTCTGACTAGGGATGCTATCAAAAGGGAGCTGGATTTGCCCCAGAAAGAGGGGGAGCCCCTGGACCAGTTCCTTTGGCGCAAGAGAGACTTGTACCAGACCCTCTATGTTGATGCAGATGAGGAGGAAATTATCCAGTATGTGGTAGGCACCCTCCAGCCCAAACTGAAGCGCTTCTTGAGTTATCCCTTGCCCAAGACCTTAGAGCAGCTGATCCAAAGAGGGAAGGAAGTCCAAGGCAACATGGACCACTCGGAGGAGCCCAGCCCACAGAGGACCCCTGAGATTCAGTCAGGAGATTCTGTGGACAGCGTGCCTCCTTCCACCACTGCCAGTCCCGTGCCGAGCAATGGGACTCAACCCGAGCCCCCGAGCCCACCAGCTACTGTCATATGAGCTCGTCCAAGGGAGGCATCGGTCTGGGTTACATGAAAGGGAGAAGGGGGCATATTTAGGAAGCTTCTCCTTGGAGAGAGGTTCTGGCTGAGACGAGACATGAGGTGTGCTCGGTCCAACAGCCCATAGCAGAGGAATTCACTTTGCTTGTGGGGGGAGGGAGGCAATGGGGGAGAGGCACCTTAGGACGTGGTTGCCCACCTCACCTGAGCCATGCAATACGGTGGTGCTGGAGATACTCGCTTGCACCACTGTGGGGAACGGACAATTTTATGAGATCCCTGACAAGAAACTAGAGACAATTCCCAACTTCAGAGGCAGCCGCTTAGCACTGGCGGCTTTCAAGGACTTCATATGAGCGCAGCAATTGGCTGAGGGTTCCTACCCATCTGGATCTCTCCTTCTCCTTCTCTCCTCCCTCTTCTGAAGAGGTGTCCCTGTCCTGAGGAGACGCCTTTCCTTTGACCCTTGCCCATTTCTGATTTGCCACTGAGCTTCTGTTCACTTGGCAATTTCCTGTTCTTACTTGCTCCAAAGGATTAAATAATTTTTTTGATTTTTTTTTAGAAGAAATCCTATGACTTCAGGAACTGAAAACTTTAAGAATCTGGATTATTTTTAGTGTTTTTCATTTCACTGCACCTAATATCTGCTTTAATGCTTTTCCTCTCAAGAGGCTCTTACTGGTTTACTACTCGTCTTAGTTTCTGCTCACTCTAATCAAGGCCACTGCAGTGCAGAGGAAAATTTCACCCTTTCTCTGCACATTATACTGTGCATTCAGCAGGAAACAAAGTTTCAAATTAAATTCTGAGCTCATTTATTGAAGGGGCAGTCTGCTTGCTTTCAGAGAAAAGAGGGTGTCAAGGTGGAGAGAGGAGGCACCAGAGCTATTTTGAGAGGGTGGGGGGAGGTAAAGGAAATAAATAAATATACTTGGAATGAAACAAACAAACACATCCTAAATCCAGAGCAAAATATCCCCAGAGCAGCAAATCGAGTCCATGCTAATGTGTGGAGACAACAGCAGCTTTTGCCATGTAAAAGCAAAAAGAAGTGAAGAAAGGAGCTGTGTGTCCCAGCACAGTTTCAGCCTGTGCATCACAGCAAACAGCTTCTGCTCACACAGACAGACTCAAAATGCTCCTGGAAAGCCTGGCACCCCTGTCCTGGAGTGCCTGAGGACAGAGCGTTGTCTGTTCACAAAGAACTTTCTGCAACAACTTGCTGTGGAGGGAGACAGACTTGGACTCTATGACGTTTTCCATCTTGAAACAGTAATGCTCAGCGTTCACCTTGCTTTGGCTAATGTCTGATGACAGGATTTTAAGATGAAACTGCTCTAAGACATGTTCAGAAAGTTTGGCTCTTCAAAGCTTCTTGAGGCTGGACACATCTTGAGCATCATCTGCATTCACCACCAGACCAAATAAACAACACCTCTGCAAGAGATGCAGCAGGGATGCAGCAACAGGATTGCCCCTGGGATGCTCCTGGCACTACTACAGCAGTGACATGTGGCACCGGTGGCTTGGAAGGCCTTTGGTGTGCCTCCTTCCAAGAAGCTGAAGGTAAGGCAACTCTCTGACATTCTTTTCTCTGCACTCCCCAGACCTAAATTAGCCATAACCTGTCCAGTAGGAACCTTGCACTGGAATAAAAAAAAAAAAAAATTTGAAATGGGATGTGAAGCACTCACTGTAAATGACTGATTAGGGTTGGGAGAAAAGGGGAAGGGAAATAAAGGGAAATAAAGGACAGTGAGTGGGAAAAGTTTCCAAAAGGGACAGTATCTTGCACTTTCTGATTAATATGGGGAGGAAAAGGGAAGCTTCTTCATTAGCCCAGACCAAGGACCTGCCCCATGAAGCACTGGGCTTGAGTCCCCAGCTGTGACAACACATCCCAGGTCCGTGCAGAGCCCAAAGGAGAGGCACGTCTACTCTGCACCCTTGCTAGAAGTGAGTTGGTCTCAGGAACAGCGGGGGCTCTCCTCTCACTTGTTCAGAGAGAGTGAGTTTGGCAGTGGCCGTGTCATCAGGGAGGAGGGAGCATTTCTCACTAATGACCTGGGATGAGTGGTGGGGGAGTGGGTGTCACTGCTGAGGATGAGCTGGCCATGCATTACAAGCATTATCTTCTCTTGGTTACAGTGACTCACTCAGATCCTCCTCTGAGAAGGAATCACTTCACAGTGCTCAGGATTCAGAAGGGAAGCCAAAGAGAAAAAGCTTCCAAACCAAGGATTCAACATCAGACCTGCTGTCAGGATCCCCAGGCACTGACTGCTGGATCCACTGTCTGAAGGAAAGACCGGCACAGGTAATTCCCTCTCATCTTACCCCTGTGGGCTTTTCCTAGCCTCCCCAGTGCCCTGCCCCAAGATACTGAATAGCTCAGGTGCTGGTCTTGAGACCTCAGCCCCAATAGGTGGGATTTCAGCTTCTTGATGTAGGAATCCAAGCCCCAATGATTAACACTCTGGGGACAGTGCACAACATGCCTTTCTTTCTGCCGGACCATTGGCAAATGCTTAGACACCAATACCTAGTGGGACCTCCGGGCTGCAGACACCTCGTAGGCACAGCTGAATTTAACCCCATCTCCTGTGAAATCCCCTGTACTCTCCGCTTTAGATATCTAACCAGAGCTGCTGCATTTTTATTTACAGCTATCCCTGCTGCTGTTGCTGAGTTTCCTTCTCTGTGTCCAAGAGTCCTGCTTTCTCAGGGAAGAAGCGAGTGCTGCAAGAAGATGGAGGGCAAATCATGCACCAAAGAGCCTCCCATGCAGCGCAATGCCATGTTCAAGGTATTAAGAGCCAGAATGAAAGGGAGAAGCCACTTCCAACAGGATGAAGAAAAGTCTGAGCTGGTCCAAGCAAGGAAGAAAGTGTTGAGAATGAAAAGAGGCAGAACAGAAGAACCAAGTCTGGGCTTTGGGGACAGCGAGGATGCTGGGCTTGTACTGACTGTTGAGATGATACCATACCTCTGCAATTTGGGGCCACTGGGACTCACCTAAAGAAATCTTCACTAGATTGTCAGTTAAAAAAACTTTCCTGATTAACCTTGCCAAATGACTCACCCTACCTAGGCTATAAACCCTCCATGCTGTTAATGCTGTAACTCATTTTTCCTGAGTTGAGGGTAGCTTCATTTCATGCGGGTATCAGTTTCAAACCTCAAAGGGCTCCGGAGGTTCGGAGAAGCATCCTGCGGTCCAGATGCTTGTCTGAACTGCTTGAGCCTGCACAACTGGGCCGGCTGTTTTGCCAGGAAGGAGAATCTTGTGAGACAGCAGGTGATTCCTGGATCTGCATGGGCCAGAGTTACTGCAAGAACCGAGGTTCTTGTGCTGGCTTTGGCATGACTGTTTCCATCCAGACCCAGGGAGAGCAAAAGATGTGTAAAAGCCAAGAGCTCGAGTGAGTTGAACAAGACAGTTTTGGTTCATATCTCAGCCGAAGAGGTCCAGTTGGTTCCTCTCTCTTCCAGAGCCAACTGTCCCAGGTATGCGTGTGTGCGTGTCAGTGCGGGTGTATGTGTGTTGAGCAATCGAATCCACCCAACTAAATTCTGTGGTGTTTTGTTGCATTTGAACAAAGCCAATGGGACCTAACGTGCATTCCAACAATGCTCAGCAAAAATGTCCAGGACTGGAAAATTATGTAAAACCATGTAAAGGCAAATTCTACATGCATCATCTCAAGTTGAAATGATGTTTGATTTTGAGGTGCTTAATTTCCACAGTCTCTTTCAAGGGACTTGACTGCCTCAACAGGCATTTTATTTTTCCATAGACTTTCCTGTCTTTTTAAGGAATTAGCCTGTCTGTGCTACTTGGTCATTTGATCCTGAGGTTTGTACATTTTCAGCTGACTTTTTGGAATGTGCAGAACTGAATCTCCTGGACTGATTTTATGTCAATTATTGCTCCTAGCAGATGGGAGTTTTACTTGTAGCACCCTGGTTTATAATACCAGCCTCTCCAGGAAGGACTGGTACTTTATTTTCCTGGGGCTGAGTCACGTGAATGAAGATGTGTGTATGTGTTGTATCTGTGAAATTTTAGCAGATTTCAACCACTGGATTTTTTTTTTCCTTAGGCAATTTTACATTTGACTCTGGCAAAACTACTTTAGAGTTTTTATTTTTACTAGAGATATTATTAATTCAAACAACCTTGTACAAAAAGCAGACACATTAAATCACTACAGGTTATAGGGGTTGAAGCCAAAAAGTCTTTGTAAGCCGACATCACTTGCCCTAGATCTGAGTGTATCAGGCAGTTTATTCCTCATGTGTCATGTTGGAGTTACAAGATCACACCAAGCCACTAGAACCTGTCAATAGAATAGTGCTACACTCTATTTGCTATTGTAGCAAAGCCTTTTGTAGATTTATACAATAAAACTTTGAAATATCTGCTTCAATTGCTTTGTGCCTTGCTTTCTGGTCTTTCTTCCTTGGTTCATGGGAGACTTGAGTAACTATTGCCCTCTGAAGACTTGGTCTTGTCAGCCATTTGGCCTGAGTTGACTTATGAAATCTTCCTTCTCAGCAAAAGAGGATGGTTGACATAAAGATGAAATGTACTGGGCCTTTGAAGAAGAAGGGTTGGATATAGACAATACGGAGGTGCTTTAAGGGGGTTGTTTAGCATCTCAGATTGAGTCAAATGTAGCCCATGAGGCTGGGAGAAATGGTCCCTTGTGGGACTGTGGATTGTGCAGGGCTCTTGTTGGGTACAGCTAAGAGAAAGGCTATTGAAGCAGAAGGCAATCACATTCCCACCCATGCTTGAGAAGTAATATGCATGGAAGAGCTGAGGCAATCAGGGCCAAGGTGAAGAAATCTCTAAGTGTGAATCAGCTCTGCTTCTTATCCAAAGAGACTTCAGCAGTCAGAAAAGCCAGCACTCAGCAGCACAGAGACCCAGGAGCTACTGGCAGGCTGGTGCTTTGCTACCTGATGCATTTCCCTACAGCAAGGTTATTCTCCATTCCTTGGATTTGTTACTTATAAAACACCCCTGGGTCATTCGGGGCTGGAGGAAAGGAACATAGCAGGGGATGTAGCTCAGAGTGCTTTAAATTGAAATGAGTATTTTTGCAATAGGCTTGGCTTAAAGTTCTAGCCCCAAAGACCCTCGGTCCATGGAGATAGAGGACTTTGCAAATCCTTCCTCTTCTGAAGAGGTTTTGCACTCAAGTGGATATAGCCCCCATTCCCTTATCCATCCCTGGTCTCTCTCTAACGAGGAAGGTGTTAGGACTAACAGTCCAGGGTGTGATGTAACTGGTAACGAGCACTTGGGTAGGTCAGCTTGAGAAACAAATGGACTCATTCCTTTCACAATAGGCACTAAAAGTGCATTGCCAAAAGAACCTCCCAGATATCCCTACTGAGCTCAGGTT